TCCCCTTTCCCTGTCTGCTGTGCTCTCAGGTTCTCCGGGCTAGGGGCGCGCCTTTCTTCGCCCTCCCGCGGCCGCTCTGTCTCACTCACTCACAGGCACGGCAGTGGGGTGGGGAGCTGGGCAGGTCCCAGGATTCTGGGTCCCGACTCCTGTCCTGCCTGGCCCACAGAAGGCGAGAGGACCCCGGAGTCCGGACAGCCCGTGCCAGCACCATGAGGGCGCTCGTAGCCCTGCTGCTCCTGGGCCTGGCGGCCGGCTCGGCCCCGCTAGACGACAACAAGATTCCCAGCCTGTGCCCGGGGCACCCCGGCCTTCCCGGAACGCCGGGCCACCATGGCAGTCAGGGCCTGCCTGGCCGCGACGGCCGCGACGGCCGGGACGGCACGCCCGGGGCGCCCGGGGAGAAAGGCGAGGGCGGGAGGCCAGGTAAGAAGGCGCCTCCGCTGCCGTCCACCGGGCTGTCCAAGCGAGCGCGGCCCCTGAGCGGGCTCTACGGGGCCGCGGGGCCACGGGGCCACAGGGCTCGGGATCCCCGCCAGGGGGCGCCGCTGCGGTCCCCGCCATCCTCTCGGCTCTGGGACCCGGGAGAGGAGAGAGTGACTCAGCGGCGGGAGGCAGAACTCCTGGGACCCTCTTTGCCCCAGCCCCAGGGATCTGCCCCAAGCCCTGTAGGAAGTGGGGAGAAGGGGCCGTGGTGCGCAGGGCGGCACTGGCCGAGGAAGTGGCGGCTGACGGGGCTCGGAGAGGATGGGGAGGGTCGTTAGAGCCGCCCTCCTCGCAGCCCGCGGCGGGCGCCCCCGGCCGCTACATTCACCTGAACCGCTCCCCTTACCCCCGCAGGACTGCCGGGGCCCCGTGGGGAGCCCGGGCCGCGAGGAGAGGCTGGACCCGTGGGGGCGACCGGGCCGGCGGGCGAGTGCTCGGTGCCTCCGCGCTCCGCCTTCAGCGCCAAGCGCTCCGAGAGCCGGGTGCCTCCGCCGTCAGACGCGCCCCTACCCTTCGACCGCGTGCTGGTGAACGAGCAGGGACACTACGACGCCACCACCGGCAAGTTCACCTGCCAGGTGCCCGGGGTCTACTACTTCGCGGTCCACGCCACCGTCTACCGGGCTAGCCTGCAGTTCGATCTGGTCAAGAATGGCGAGTCCATCGCCTCTTTCTTCCAGTTTTTTGGGGGGTGGCCCAAGCCAGCCTCGCTCTCCGGGGGCGCCATGGTGAGGCTGGAGCCCGAGGACCAGGTGTGGGTGCAGGTGGGCGTCGGTGATTACATCGGCATCTACGCCAGCATCAAGACGGACAGCACCTTCTCTGGATTCCTGGTGTACTCTGACTGGCACAGCTCCCCTGTCTTCGCTTGATGCCCACTGGAAAGTGAGCTCAAGCTCTCTCACTCCTAGGGGAGGAGGGTATGACACTGACAGGCACATGATCCGGGAGGGCTGGCCCCCCTGGAGTGTTGTGAATGACTACGGAGGTGGGGTGCGGGTTTCTCCGTCCTGCTGCTGGCAGGGAATGGGGACAGGGGCTGTCTGAGATCCGAGCTGGCAGCATGGGGCAGTGGCTGGAATCCTGCCCAAGACCAAAGGAGTGCTCTGTGCTGGCAGGTGTGGGTCCTCCAATTGCCCAGGACCCCAAGGTGGGATGCTCTCTTCCTGGTCCTCCGCTTCTCTGGGTCCTCCCTGATCCGTCCTACTCCTGGGCCCTTCTCTCAGAGATCATTCAATAAACCTAAAACCCCCTCCTACTGGTTCAGCCTCTCTTCTTTAGTGATGGGGATGCCCTGATTCTGAGGAGCGGGGGAGGAGGGAAGGAAAGAGAGGAGGTTTGGGGGTGGGGGATGCTCAGGCAGAAGGGGGGTGCTCTTAGGCTGGATGAGCTATGGGGCAGAAGATACAGGATGCAGGCCCAGGTGAACGAGAGGCCAATTCACAGAGCTGGCCCCCAAGTTGTGTAGGTTATGAACTGGAGTGCCTGGCTGAGGAGGTGCCCTCCTGGCATGGGGCTCTGGCCACCTTTCTAACTCAAAGATGCCATATGCACTGGGCAGGGGCTACCTTCACCACACACATCCCTGCCCTGATCAATGAACAGGAGCCCAGGGTTTTCATTCATGACTGCTCTGGCTGCTTGCCTCGTCCCTAGACGACTGGAAAGCTATTTCTCTGTCCCCCATGCCAGGGGAGTGTCCCTGGTTGTCTAGAGATAAGTAGTTTCTGAGGTGACCACAAGGGGGCACCCCAGCTCCAGAGTGAGGCAATGACCCTGGGCAGCTCGCGCTCCTGACTAACAGGATGGTTAGGGGGAGGAAGGGTATTGAGGTCTGCCAGTGGAATTCCAGATGGGGGTGGAGGAAAAGGGGGTCCTTTCCTCCCAGCTCAGGAAGTTTATCTTCTCTCATAAAATGTTTATCCTCATATTAAACAGACTAGAAGGAGCCAAGCCTCCCCTTGCTCAGCAACCTCTCAGGGTTGGGGGAGGGGGAGAAAAAGTCCTCCTTCAGGCCTCCCAACTCCGAGGGGGATGTGGCCAACTCCCCCACTGTGCTGGGCATGGCCTGGGCAGCCGCGCCACGAAGTCTGAGGCTAACCACAAAGCCCCTTCAAGGCTCCCCTCCTCTGACCTTCAGAAGCTGGCCGCAGCCCCTCCCCCAACCCAATGACTAACAAACCAGGGCTTGCCAGGCCCACAATCGGTTCAGCCTCTCAACCCAAGAGAAAGTGGAAAGGCCCCTCCTCAGAGTTTCTTCCCGACCTACCCCTTCTCCCTCTCCCGCCCCCCGCCCTCCCACCTCCCTTCAGAAGGCTGTCACTGCCATTAAGCTCCTAGATTTAACATACAATTATGGGGGAGTGTCCCCCACCCCACTCTTGCTGGTCATGTAAGGGTGGATATGACCAATAGGGATTGGGGCCTGGGCTGGGGAAGTGAGCTAGAGACGGGCCTCAGGCTTCCTGGCTCCCTGTTCTCCACCAGGACGTCCGGCAGCCATACTCGAGCCCATCACATTGCCACTTGATGCGAAGAGATAGGAGGATAAGCACCAGCTCCTCCGGGAATCAGGAACCCCAAGTTCCCTCCTGGGAAGAGTGGCACCAGAGGAGAAGCTGGGAAGGCTGACTCACACGATGAGAAAGTTCACACTTCTCTCTCCTAGGGCTTAATTCTGGCAACAACAGAAAAGATAGGGAGGGCCTTCCAAAAGCCATGTGTGTGAGGGCACCAAGTGGATGGGGTGAAAGCTAATCCAGCCATACCTGTTTGGGCTCTCCCCAAGACACAGTACTCCCACCTATCTCATCTCTCCCCCAACCAGGTCCCCCACAGACCACACTGTGACTCCAGGAGGACTGCAGGACCCTGCTGCAGTGTTAGTTACCCTGACCAACTGCTCGCCCTTGCAAGGATGCACACAGAGGCCCTCAGAGCTGGCAACAGGACTTTATTCACTGGAAGCTGGGACAGACAGACCCCTCGGCAAGCTGCATGCCCCAAGGTCCTGGCCCCTTCTGTATTTGGACCCTAGTGAAATGTGCACAGTCTGCCCTCCCCATGCCAGGGAGAGACAAGTGGAAAGGGAATGCCATTTTCCTCTGTGATGTGAGGAGTGAAGGGGGTACAAGCAGAAACCTGGTTATCCCTCCTGAGGGTCCCAGTGGAGCTGGGGTGCCAGAGGGTACATGGTCCCAAAGGCAGGTGCAGACCGTCCCTCCCTCCCACCCAGGGGTAAACTGATCCCAGCAGTTGAGTCAGGTTGGAGGGAGCCTCATAAGATCATGACAGGCAGTAGTGGTAGCTCTAAGGGCACCTAAGAGATCCTACCCCAAAGCCTCCCAGGGCACAGGGGCTCTAGCTGAAAGCAAAGGTTCAAGAGCATTCCAAGGCCCTTGAGTTGCCAAAACACCCAAATGACACTAATGTGTTGTGGCTGCAGAAGCTGGGGAAGAAGTGAGGAGGGGGCAGGGAGAGAAACTGCAAATCTCCAACAACAACAAAAAAAAAACAGAAGCAAAGAACAGGGGCTCCAGAGGCTGGCATCTGGGTGGGCCCTGGAAAGCTGGAGGGGAGTCCACAGAAAACAGTCTCAGGGCCTTGCATAGTGACACACTCACCACCCTCAGCATCACAGGGACCCACTGGGTAAGGAAAAGCTATTACCCTGCCCCCACCCAGGTCATAGTCTCCTAGAGTATCCCATCTCAATGTCCTGGATGTATGGCTTAGAGGCTTGGCATGACAGCCATGGGGGCAGGTGGGGATTCAGGCCAGGAATCGGAGATCAGGTGCTGATGCTGTCCTAGCGCAGGCGGCTGCGTAGAGCGTAGAGGGCTGAGCAGGCAGAGACGGAGTCTTCAGAGGTAGACATTGAGGGTCTGCAGAATGCCCCGGCGGCACAGTGGGCAGTTGCGGTGATAGACAGGGTGGCGCATCAGGATTTCAGTGCAGGCCTGGCACAGGCACAGGTGCCGACAGGGCAGAAGCAGCACCGTCTTGCTCTGGTCCTGGCAGATGACGCACTTCTTCCGCTCCTCTTGCTCCTTCAGCAATTTCCATGGGTCTTGCCCAGCTATGGGCATCTCCTCATTGAGCCTCTCCCGGCCCCGGGCAGCTGCTGCTCTGGCCATCCTGACTTCCTCCTCTTCTGCCACTGATCTGGGCCCTGCTTCAGGAAGAATGTCCTGTCGCCAGGTCGTAGCTGAGGGTACCCTCCTAGGGCCACTGTGAGGAGCCCCAGGTGCCCCTCCCCGATTTGGCCAGCTCGCCAGCTGCAGGCTGCGGCTCCAGACTCGGCGCCAGGCCTCTGAGCCCAGTGCTAGGCGAGACAATCGCACAACATCCTCTCGGAGCCGGTGGTAGGATGGCCGGGCATGGAGCTGACTGAGTGCCTGGGTGGCGAGCCTCAGGGTGAGGTCCGGGTGCAACACAGTCACTGTCACTGCCAGCACGCAAGCCAACAGCACCAGGCCAGTGAGATTGACAAGCACAAAGCTGGCCAAGAGGCGGGCAGCTGAGGCCAGGAGCTCCAGTGCTAGTTGGCAGGGGGTCCAGAGGAGGATGGCCATGGCCACAGCACTGCTGGAAATGTGGGCTAGGAAGGCAGCCATAACGTCTGTCATCCTCCACAGCGGCCCCATCACCGCATCCCACAGGGCCAGCACCAGGGAGAAGAGGTTCTGAGTGCCAATGAGACAGATGTTGACCAAGCTGTTGATCACGTAGGCCACCAAGCTCATAGCGATGGTACAGATGTCACAGGCCTGGCGCAGCAAAGCATGGCCATTGGAGACCACATTGAGGACACCCCGGTGCAGTATCTCCCGGCTCCTCAGTGCCCCGTGAGAGGCCAGGTGCCCCAGGAGCTTTAGGCTCTCCAGGCCAGAGCAACAGCTGTATAGCAGGGTACACAAGGCCTGCAAGCCCCCAAAGGTGAACCGTACCAAGGCTTCAATCAAGGCCAGCAGTGAAAGCACGACTCCGCGGCCCAAGTGCAGAAGACTAGTCAGTACCGTGTGTGGCAGGTTGTAGATGAAGGCCAGGAGCCAGGCCAGGGAAGCCAGGAGGGAGGACACCAGCAGGAAGTTGAGGTCCAACACCAAGGTCAGCACGTCCAGCACCAGGCCCACCCCATTCACTACAAGGTACACAGCCTCCATGATAGGGCTACGGAGGTTAGTCCAAAAGGAAGTCTCGCTCCTGGTTGAGGGGGCTGTCAAGGCTGTCAATATTTGGGGGGTCAGTGATTAATTTGGACGAGAAGTGAGCAGTCTCCAACCCAGGGAGAGAATCAAGAATCTAAGGAAGAAGTGGGTCAGAGGGAAGTGGAGTCTCAGTGGAGGGACAGGGGGCCAGATGCCGATCCAGAAGTCCCGGTTTTGAAGGCGGGCTGTTTGGAAGGGAAGAGGCCAAACATCTCTAGAGTGGAGGTGAGCCCGGGATGGAGGAGAGACTTCAGCTTTGGAGGCCCGGGGGTGGCGTACCACGGTCGGGCAATGGCTCAGACCGAGCGGAGACCGGGAACGGATGGGATCAGGCCGGGCCGGGGCCGGGTGGGGGCGGCGCAGGCTGGGCGCGGGCTCGCAGTCCAGCTACGCAGGTGCCCCTGTCCCCGCCCGGCCCCCGTCCCCCGGGCTCGCGGCGCTTTGCGCCCAAAGGGGGACTGGGAAAGGGAGTCAGCCTCAGCAAACCCCAGGCGCAGCCTCTACTCCGCTGGGCGCCGCCATCTTGTGTGCGAAGGGGTGGGGCAAGAACCGTGACAGGGAGGGAGTGACGAAGAACTCCGGCCAATCGGTGAGGGCCAACCGCAGGGACGTCGAGCACTCATTGGTCTGTTTGAACGGCGCCCAAACATATTTACTTTCCAGAGGGAGGGGCGGAGACAGACTGAAATCCCCGCCCCTTTGAAGGCGTGATTGGTCAGTTGGCGGGCAGAGGCGGAATATGCCCTCTAGCCTCGCCCCCTAAAGGCGCAGGACTTTGGACGAGGCTAAATATGGGCGCCGTTCTTTTTCTTGGCCGCGCGGCGTGATCATTTTAGGTGCGGGTTGGGGGTCACTGCCTCCGAGCTGGGCTCTGGAATTGCACCGCCTCCTTAGCCTCCTCAGGCTCGCTGCCTCGTCCTCCTCTATTTATTCATTTATTCTATCTTTTATTGAGCTCCTACAAATGCACTGAGGATACAAAAAAGGTTTAAGACGGTGCCTGCTCTCAAGCAGTTCACACGAGGAAACAGATTGTTACAGGGGATTCCCAAGCTGCTATAACAAAGTTTCCTCACGCTCCATTAGATTTTCTCAGCATCCTCAGGAGATTACCTCATTGTCATTGAGACAAGGAGGCCACGAACCGGAAATAGCTCACCCCTTACTTCAGCCGCATTTGTTTACTTGAACACTCTATTTAGATATCTACGCCTGGGCGGCTCCAGTTAGCCTTCTCTTTAATATTCAAATAATATTCAAAATATATTTGAGGCCCCATGTCAAATATATTGGGAAGCCGAGTGTTTTCTACTAACGTCAAGGATACTTGGGAATCTTATCCGTCCCTTGGTCACCATTGCTTTAATTTCCTGCTTGTATTGAACTCTTCATCTCCACTCTGGCCTCCAGAAAGTGTCTGTACGCCCCACCCCCTTCGCCCCACCCTGAACACTGCCTGAATCCGTCATTCCCCAAAGCACCACTGATACAGAGCTGAGGTGTGCAGCAGACCTTTACTGAGACATTGGAGTCCCAATGTCTCAGAGGTGACCTGTGGCCAAAATTCTTGTGACAAGTGAATTACTACAAAACGCTCTCCATTCTTCAACTAGGAACGTAATGGCTGAAAGTACCACGTGACCAGAATGCGAAAGCAGCGCTGAATGGCCCCCCATGGAGAAGTCAAGGCGCCTGCCAGTGCTGACTAGGGGAGTGGTCCTGGAAATGGTGGCTCTGTTTGGAATCAAGCAGTATCACTACTAACTTGATAATGTTTCTTTCTCCTCCAGGACTATTTCAGGTAAGAGCTGGTTCAAACACCCACAGGTGCCGAAGCAATGGTCAGGCATCTATTGGAGGCTGGAGGAGGAGGACTGAAGAGGTATTGGTGGAAAGAACCAACGCCAACTAACTTTAGGGAAGAAATTCAAAGTGCTTACTACCGTGAGTGACAGTGATTGAGAATAAGCCAGATCTTGAGAACGTTTACTGCCTGGAGGTGGTATCCTTGCAGAATTTTATAACAGAAAACGTAGTGGGTGGAACTAAAACCCTCAGGCATCTATCTGCCCCCAAGGGGCCTGCTAGAGCAACAGCTGGTTTCTGCTGCTATGCTAACTGCGTGGCTTTTGTTTTGCTGGGTGAGGATGCTAGCTGGTACAATAGAAGGGGTTTTTAGAGGTTGTTCGGGTTTGAAGATTAAGAGAGAATAAAACCATGAAAGAATGACTAATGCAGGAGTTTTGTTTTGTGGTATTGTGTGTACTATAACCCTCCCCTTCGCTTTCCCATCAAGCATTCAGTAAAATCTATATATACATTTTTTTTTTTAAAGATTGGCACCTGAGCTAACAACTGTTGCCAACCTTCTTTTTTTTTTCCCCTGCTATTTCTCCCCAAATCCCCCAAGGACATAGTTGTATATTTTAGTTGTGGGTCCTTCTAGTTGTGGTATGTGGGATGCCGCCTCAAGGGGGCCTAATCAGCGGTGCATGTCGGGAGGGGGCCTAATCAGCGGTGCCATGTCCGCACCCAGGATCCGAACCGGCGAAACCCTAGGCCTCAGAAGCGGAGCCCGAGATCTTAACCACTCGGCCACGGAGCCGGCCCCAGTAAAATCTATCTTACTGCTAAGGTTTTCCAGTTGGATTTTTTCCTTTTTGATTTAATTTTGCTTTTCAATTATGCAAATTATTTACAGGGTCCCAAAGTCAAAACTGTATAAAAGGTTACATCCGTGGAAGACTTCATCCTGCCCCCTCCACCCTGTTCCCTCCCAGTACCACCCAAAGACCCACAAATCACAAACATACCAAAAAATGTTTTCCTCAGTCAATCGGGATTCAGGGCTTGGCACTGGCACAGCAGAACTCATAACTCTGAACATCAGCTCTGGGTAACAACACCGTTCAGCCCGGAGAGCACTTCTCCACATCTCATAACCCATGTCCTGGAAACATGAGGTGACAGTGTCCCAATGCCACAAAGATCTGTGGTTTGGGCAAGGGACGCTTTGAGTGGTTGAAGCACTTAGGTAAGAAAAGAAATACATTAATTAAGTAGTCACATCCTCTTGGTTTTCTTCTTATTCCAATGTGTGGTTCCAGAAGCACTCAGAAATTAATGCTGTATTTGCAGTAGTTGGTGAGGAACATCTGTAATATTAATTCATTTTTTTTTTTAAAGATTGGTACCTGAGCTAACAACTATTGCCAATCTTTTTTTTTCTCCCCAAATCCCCCCCAGTACATGGTTGTATATTTAAGCTGAGGGTCCTTCTAGTTGTGGCATGTGGGACGCTGCCTCAGCGTGGCTTGATGAGTAGTGCTAGGTCCACACCCAGGATCCAAACCGGCGAAACCCTGGGCTCCCGATGGGATGTGCAAACTTAACCACTCAGCCATGGGACCAGCCCCTCCTCCGTGTCTTTTTGTGACTTGATAGCTCACTTCTTTTTATCCCTGAATAATATTCCATTGTATAGATGCACCTAACAGTTTGTTTATCCACTCACCTATTGAAGGACATCTTGGTTGCTCCCAAGTTTTGACAATTATGAATAAAGCCGCTATAAACATCCATGTGCAGGTTTTTGTGTGGACATAAGTCTTCATCTCAGTTGGGTAAATACAAAGAGCACAATTACTGGATCGTATGGTAAGGGTATGTTTACCTTCCAAAGTGGCCGTACCATTTTGCATTCTCACCAGCAACGAATGAGTTCCTGTTGCTACATATCCTCTCCAGCATTTGGCGTTGTCAGTGTTTTGGAGTAGCATCTCGTTGTTTTAATTTGCAATTCCCCAATGACAAATGATGTCGACATCTTTTCATCTGGGTATTTGCCATCTGTATATCTTCTTTGGTGAAGCATCTGTTAAGGTCTTTGGCCCATTTTTTAATTGGGTTGTTTGTTTTCTTATTGTTGAGTTTTAAGAGTTCTTTGTATATTTTGGATACCCGTTCTTTACCAGATATGTATTTTGCAAATATTTTCTCCAGTCTGTGGCTTGTCTTTTCAATCTCTTAACAGTGTCTTTCACTGAACAGAAGTTTTTGATTTTAATGAAGTCCAACTTATCAATTTTTTCTCTCATGGATCATGCCAAAAATTCATTGCCAAACCTAAGATCACTTAAATTTTCTCCTATGTTATCTAGAAGTTTTATGGTTTTACATTTTACATTTAGGTCTATGAGACTGAGTTAATTTTTGTGAAACATGTAAGATCCATGTCTAGATTAATTCTTTTGCATGTGACTGTTCAGGAATTGTTTTACTTTTAAAAGGATGAAGTAATTTCTGTTAAATTTTAAAGTATTTTCTAAATCTAAAGAAGCCGCATTCTAATAAACTATAAGGAAACAAAGCTTGACAGTACACTCTGTTGGCAAGGCTCTGGGGAAACAAGCACTCTCATACATTGCTGGTAGGAAACCAAAATATTATCACCCCAATGGAGAGGAGTATGGCAATATCTACAATGTCTATGTACACATTATTACAAAACCACAGTAATCAAGTCAGTGTGGTACTGGCATAAAGACAGACATTCATATAGACCAACGAGTAGAACAGACAACCCAGAAATAAACTCTCACATGTATGGCCAAATGATCTTCAACAAGGGTGCCAAGACCACTCAATGGGGAAAGGACAGTCTCTTCAACACATGGCGCTGGGAAAACTGGATATCTACATGCAACAGCATGAATTTAGACTCTTATCTTACACCACATACAAAAATTAACTCAAAATGGAATAAAGTCCTAAACATAAGACCCAAAACTATAAAATTTCTAGAAGAAAACATAGAGGATAGCTTGATGACACTGAATTTGATAATGATTTCTTGGATATGACACCACAAGCATAAGCAACAAAAGAAAACATAGACAAATCGGATTACGTCAAAGTTGGAGGCTTTTGTGCATCAAGCAACACCATCAGCAGAGTAGGGGGGACAACTTATAGAGTTGGGGAAAGTATTTGCAGATCATGTATCTAATGAGGATTGAAGAGAACTGCCACTCAACAACAGGAAACCAAATAGCCTGAGTGGGGGATGGGCTGGGGGCTTGAATGGACGTTTCCCCAAGGATGATGTGCTTTTGGTCAGCAGGCATATGGGAGGATGCTCTCTGGTCATCAGAGAGGTGGAGGTAGGGCTGAGGTGGGATGTCACCTGTGCCCAGTGAGAAGACTACTAGGAAATAGAACATAGCAGGTGTTGGCAAGGATGCAGAGAAGTTGGAGCACTTGTGGACTGTTGGTGGGATTGTAGAGCGGCACAGCCACTACAGAAAACAGTGTGGAGGTTCCTCAAAAAATTAAAAATAGAACTACTATATGATTTAGCAATCCCTCTCCTGGGTATATATCCAACAGAATGGAAAGCAGGGTCTCAAAGAGATAATTGCACACACATATTCATAGCAGCACTATTCAAATAGCCAAGAAGTAGAAGCAACGCAAGTGTCCCCTGACAGGCAAATGGATTAACATAATGTGGTATATACACACAATGGGCTACTATTCAACCATAAAAACAAATGAAATTCTGAAACATGCTACAACATGGATGAAATGTGAAAACATAATGCTAAGGGAAAGAAGCCAGTCACAGAAAGTTGAGGGGCCGGCCCGATGGCGCAGTGGTTAAGTTCCCACGTTCCACTTTGGCGGCCAGGGTTTGCCGGTTCGGATCCCGGGTGTGGATGTGGCACCGCTTGGCAATAAGCCATGCTGTGGTAGGCGTTCCACATATAAAGTAGAGGAAGATGGGCACGGATGTTAGCTCAGGGCCAGTCTTCCTCAGCAAAAAGAGGGCTAATCTTCCTCAAAAAAAAAGAAGTTACCAGTAGGAACTCATGCTTTATAATATATATATATAAAATATATATTATATATATTACAAATAATATATTATACATAATATATTATATATTAGATATATATCTATATATAATAGATTAGATAAGTGTTATACTAATATATATTAGATTAGATGTATTATATATACATATGTATGATATGTACATATTTTTTACCTAGCTATGTCCACTGAAAGCACGTAGAAGCAATAATACCCCACTAGCAATAGTACCCAGATCTTGGTTTCTAACTACCATCCTCACTAAAAGGAACTGGGATTCCTTGGAAAAATGGTTGATTACAGGGCTGGGGCAGAGATGGTACCATGTGAACTTGGAACATCTTGTTGGGCCAGAAAGAAAGTAGTGCCAAAAATTATGGGGCGAGGGTCAGTGTCAAAGGACACAGGAGGGGGCTGGCCCAGTGGTGCAGCGGTTAAGTTTGCACGTTCCGCTTCTTGGCGGCCCGAGGTTCCCTGGTTCGGATCCCGGGTGCAGACATGGCACCACTTGG